CTAATTTTAGGTCATGTCTTTATATAATCACTCTATGTGATAAATTCGAATTTGTCACGTGATAAATTCGAATGTATTATACCTTGTGCCACAATATAAGTGATAAGTTCGAATTTGTCATGTGATAAATTCGAATTTATTATTTATATTGTGACAAATATATGTGACAAACCATCAGATTAGCATGGATCACTCCTGGATTCAATCCGAATTATGGATTCGGATTGGATTCGGATCAATTCCAGATTAACCAGGATTTTTAATCCGTTTTTGAACACTACTTGAAATCATCTGAACAAGTAGAGTTACAATCTATTATTCATTTATCTGGATAATTATCAGATATTCATTATCTGTTATCCAAAGTATCTGATCTTCATTTATCTGGATATTCATTTACAATTGATATCCAAATAATTATTCAAATATCTGTCAGATTATCCGGATATTTTGATCTGTTTATCTGATCTGGATGATTCGGATAATCCAGATATGGATAAATGGATAACGGATTATCTGGATTGGAACTCTAAATTAAAGACTTTGCTATGTAGATTAATAATGAAAAAAAATCCAACCTGATTGAAATTTCAAATGTCATTTAATGCAAAAGAAAAATCGTCTTTGTATAGCTTTAATAATTTAAGTACTGTTGAATTTTTAAAACTTTGAGCAAAATTTTTCTAATTAAATTTGATGAAAATTTTATATACCAATTCTGCAATTTGTTTGGCTGATTTCTGACTATTTATCATGTGATTTTTCAAATCTGATAACTTCTCAAAACTGATACAGAACCCATCCACCATGCATACTGGTTTTGAGAGGGCTGACAGTACTTGTATTGTTTTTTAATTTCATCTCATCAATCTAGTAAATGAATTTTATTAATCGATGTGTTTGTCAGATTTATTAAAATTTAATCTATTTATTTATTACAGTCAGACCTCCCTAAATGCAACCTTTATAAATGCAATACCTCCCTAAATACACGTTTTTGTCTTGGCTGTATGAAATCATTAGTGCTAAATGCACGTTCTATATTCTGCAAATGCACATTTACTTAAAAGATTTTTTATATCATACTAACCTCCCTAAGTGCATGTAGCCAATCAGAAGTCAATATTTAAGTTTGTTATACAAACTTGCAGATTAAATATTAAAAGCTGCAATTTAATTAGCTTCCTTTAAATGCAAACTTCCCTAAATGCACGTTTTAGACTGGTCTGTACACGTTGCATTTATGGAGGTTTGACTGTAATTGTATTAACCCAGTGAATGAAGAGAATACAGTACTATCTATTTCATAGACAAACATTTTATAGACAATTTAGTTTACTGAATTTTACAGACAAATAATTTACAGACAAGCTTATTTTATAGATAGTTATTTTTACAGACAACTTTTTTTACAAACAAATAATTGTATTATTATTAAGATAAGGTTTAAAAATTTAATACAAGTCAAAAATCTCAAACTCTTTCTAATGATCTTCTAGTCAACAACAATAAAAATCGAACTACAGGAAAACATATAGAAAAGCAACAAAATAGATACTAAACTTGGTCTTATAAGTAGAAGCAGCTTGTTGTCAACAAAGTCTAAGCATCTAGATATGAAATACCGAGGAGTGGGCGTCAAAAGAATATAGACAGTTTTCTTTGAGGTCAAGTTTTTTTTTCTTCTAGGCGGACTTCCCAAGATATTTGGTATCCAAACCAGAAAGTTTATTCTGGAAACAAGTCTGTAGAAGTAGCCAACATGTACTTCTAAGTTGGTAGATATAAAGAAGCTAGACTATACAACTGTAAAACTTACAAGAAAAACCTCATATACTTCTATTGGCCTACCACTTTTTTTCGAAGAAATTTTTGTAAAAAGTGTGCATTTCAGTTTATCTCCTCCAAATAATCAATATCACATGTACCAAACAAGTCGGTATTGTTTATCTCTTAAATCAGAATATGACAATAAACACGTATATATATATGCCTCAAATGCAATGGATATCTGTATAAATGATGCTCCGAGACTTTGTTCCGACCTCTTTACTTTAAATCGGTTGATGAAGTTTTTCCTATTAAGTTTTTATTTTCGTATACTAGTTTAGTAAAAAATAGAAGTAAAGACTAATTTGTCTAGTCAGTATGTAATTTTTCTAAGCCACCTATAGGCTTATAATCATAGTATTAAGATTAGCAAATTTTCTGTTTTGTTTTTTTTTTGATATTCTTCTGTTTTGTTTTTTTTTTGATATTCCTTTACTTCTTTTTTTTTTATATTTTGTATTCTTTTATCATAGTCCCCTATACCTCTGTATTTTTTTTTAGTTTATTTGTTTTTTTGATTTTGCTTCTTGATGAGTGGATAGCCACTAGCTGAAAAACAATAAGAAAAAAGTTCTTAGTGAGTTAAGGACTCTGAGAGAGGCCAAGTGCTACTGAGACAGGTCATGCTTGATATATAAAATCATATAGGCGAGTCTTTTATTTGATAGGATCTATTATAGTTAGAGATAAATATTTGTAATTTTGAATAACTTGATTCTAAATAAACAAAGGCAGGATAGCTGAATTAAAAAAAATATATATAATATAAGTTAAAAAAAAAAAAACTTGTTTGTGAAATAAGCTATCTATGAAATAGACTATTATGAAATCAACTTGTCTGTAAATTAATCGCTTATAAAATTATCTGAATTAATTAGTTGTAAACTAAATTGTCTAGGAAGTGATTATCAGTAAAATAATATATATCTGAATAAATATTTATTAATTGAAACATTTAAGGGTAGGGGGTATATAAATCATTTTTTATATGATCTTGTTGGTATATTTTTGTTATATTTAATATTTTAAAATATTTTATAAGCTAATTGTATATTATATATAAAATATATATATAATATTATACCCAGCTACCCCCTCTCTCCCTAAAAATATTATGTAATATCTGTTAGTGCTCTTATTAAAGGGTTAATAATTCTTCTATAATGCAGCATAGTGAAATTAAAAGTAAGAATAATCTGTTAAAGATATTATTCAAAGTTAATAACATTCTTTTTAGTATAATTAAAATCAATAATTTAATTAATGCTTACATTAGTTTGAGATTGTTAGAAGTTTGAAAATAAAAGTTTGTGATTATTAGAAGTTTGAAAATAGAAGTTTGGAATTATTAAAAACTTAATGAGAGTCTTATTTAAGTATATATAATAGTATAATATTATAAATTTGTAACTTATTGTAAAATATTTTGATTTTAAATACTTGTTTACTACAATAAAACGTGTTAGTTTTTTGAACTAGATTTTAAATAACATTTAATTTTACATGTATATATGATATGCATGGGTTTGCAAATTCTTTATAATATGTAAATCAAATTTACAGGTTTGAGATATATATTGATTGACTTTTTATATAATTTTATTAGTGACTTATAATATTTATTTATAATATGTGATTGGCTGGTTATGGTTTATTATCATATGATCATTAAAAGTCATACAAGAGGCATGCCTCAACCTAAGAGCATACTTTTATAAAGATGCACAATTTTTTATCTGTATACTGAACTCTAATGTGTAATATAGTATTAAACTAAAAAACAAATTGTTTATTTCAAAAATCATCAATATCTCAAAATTTTGTATATGAAACTATCTTTTGTATTATAACAAAAAAAATTTCAAAATGATCCCTCCTGGGCTATCTGGATTGGAAGTTTGGGACACTATTAGTTGACATCAAAGTATTGTTGATAGTCTGTAAAGTGGGTACTGGGATTTGGGTGAACTTTGCAAAGGCACAGAGTAGGTAATGGTAGCGGAAATAAAAAACCACAAGTACTTGGCCATGACCTAGATGTAAGTTACCGAAAATCTAGGTGATATATATATGGGATATGAACCACTCTAGTAGATTTACCACGAGGATAAAGTAGTCCTAAGGGGCCTTAGCAGCAGTTTCTCTTTAGAAAGAATATCCGATGGTGCTAAATTGATTAGAGGGTTTAATTGAGTAACTCAAATAATAGTAGGTTACAGATATGACATCTAGTGTAGTACTTAGTAATAGGAAACAACTTAATTAGATACTCAAAAAACGCAAATATGACTAGAATATATCCTTGTTAATATAACAAAGTCAGGGGTAGCCTATGTAGTTGCCTGACATTCGATCCAAAGTTTAATAAAACGTGCCAGACCCCAAAGTGGTCACCTTAACATTAAAAAAAAAAAAAAAAAAAAAAAACCCTCTACCAAACTCTACTTTTTGCACTTTTCTAAATTTTCACTAAAAAATGAGAAAAACAGCATACTTCTAACAAAAGATTGATATAGTAACAGCTGCTGAAAAAGAAAAGTCACATATATGTATATGTGTCTACTTTGGGATGAATAGTATCAGATAATGTGATAATGTTTGAAACACTGCAAAAAACCCACCGATCTAGTTGGAATAATATTAAAAGTTTCAACTTTGGAGCTCTACTTCAAGATTGGATAGTTTTTAATATTTTTATATCTGAAATATAGACATAAATAACTAGTATAGAGTTTAGTCTAGTTTATTTGTAGTACTATATAATTTTTACAATCTGGTACAGGTTTAATAGTACTATCTTTGTTTTTTTTTTTTTTTCAATATTTGTTTTATTTGGTTTTATTAGTTTAGATAGACCAGAACTCGACATCATAATATTTTCTCATTTTTGTTATCCCCTTTGTATTTGTGTTTGTATTTCATTTTGTAAAAAAGAAAGTTAATTTGAATATAGTGTAATACCAGCTTATAACCAAAGGATAACCTTTAGTAAGTTAGGGATCTAGAGAGAGGCTTGAAGTCTACTGAGGCAAGTCATATCTGGTGAAAGTGTGGGTATATCACTTTACAAGTGAATTAATATAGCTATTATTAGAGAATGTAAATTTCTTAGTATAGTTTAATCTCAAATAAAAAGTAGTAGGATAGCCGAATTATAAAAAATAATCAAATTTTATTAGTATTTATTTTATTAGTTAAATATATTATTATATTTTATTAGTAAATTTTTATTAGTCATATTTTATTAACAATTTTTACTATATATTTATTATATTTTTTCTTAATTGATGATCTGTGAGTCATCTGAAGAAAATGATCTGCAATCATTAAGTATATATAACACAAATTAATTAATAGAAATCTTTATTTAGAAATGTGAAAATTTTTATATAATATGCATATGATTCGAAATTGTTTAACTTGCTATTAGAATTTTCAACCTATAAATCTTACTCACAAGCTAAAAACTAATCTATACAAGTTTAGAACTCACTTATTAGTATATATCTTACTCACAAATTAATCTATTTGCTAGTATCTATTAGTTTAAAACCTACTTACCAGTACTAGTTTAGAACCTATTAGTTTAGATGATTGTTGCTTAATTTTTCAAAAGTTATTCTGCTAAGCAACCAAACTTAAATTTTTAAATAAAAAAAAGAGTAATAAAAAGAAATTACAAGCAAACCTTTCTAAATGCATTGCAGTGAGACTATATGTAAAAATTGAATCAAACATGTATTTAGGAAGTACTTTTATAGAGCGTATATTTAGAAATGTTGCACTTAGAGAGATTTAATGTATATAATAAAAAAAATTAAAAAATTTTTTAACTTACTGGATTAAATTAAATAATGTTCTTTATATTTACTATGTTATAATGATTAAAATAAATTAAATATGAAGTAGTTATTAACAAAAAAAGTATATAAAAGACTTATATACAATAGATTATAATAGCTAAACTATTATATTTACTTGTAAACCTAAGATCTGATGCTTAACAGATCTATATATTAATAACTATACATACTAAAAATTTACTTAGTAAATGCTAAGATCACCCAAGATAAACTTTTTATTAAGAAGCTTTTATATTTCATGATTTTGATATTAAAAACTTGTTGATCTCTGTTATGTTGTTATATAAAATTTTCATCAGTTAACTAGTGGATCATCAATTAAATCTTATTATATATTTTATATTATTATTGTATATTTTATAGTATTATTAGTTTATTTATATAGTTTATAATATATTTTATTTATTTTAGTTGTTTAAACAATAGTTTATTACATATTTTATTAGTATACTTTTCACAAAATTCTATTTAAAGCAATATTTGCTTTAATATTTAAATTATTAGTTCATTTAACATAATGAGATACAGACCAAAGCTATACAAGGTTACCTTAGCACAAATAGTATTCCAGAACACTATAGAATAATTAATTATTTATTGTTTAGCTGAATTATTAATTTTAGAAATTGTAATATTATTTAACAACTTTTTTCAATGATTACTTGTACCAACATAACACCGAAAGCAAGTTGAAAATTCAAGCCTAGAAGTCAACAACAACTTGAAGTTTTCATGATACAAACTGTTGTCAATGAAGTTTTTAAACATGATATACCGAGGAGCAGATATTTTAGATGGTTTGCAAAGGGGTTAAGCCTGGTTTTCTGCTATTTCTTGGATAGACTCCTCTTTGTATTTGACATTCAAATCAGAGGAGTCTCTGAGAATAGCAAGTAGAAAAGAAATCTAAAGTTTGTTAAAAGATAGAAGACTTTAAAGAACTCTTAAAACAATACTTCTTAGTTAGAAAATTCACAGAAACTCAATATTTCCTTGCTGTTTTTTAGTTTCAAAATTTTCAATAAAAAGTAGGAATTCAGCTTACCCTCTCCAAAAGATTGGTATTGTTTACCACTTCTATATTGGAATACTAGATGATGACAAATCAGCATATGTTATAAAATGAATGAAATGATAACAAGTTATATAGAGTTTTTAAAGTCCTTATACTTTTGAATGAAAATATGGATTTAATTAGGAAAAGTTAAGCAAAGTATTTTAAGATATACAATGTATCATTTGTATATAATTTTTAGTTTCTAGCTTGAGTTATAGTGCATCTTGTTTTAGTTCTATATTTTTGTTTTTGTTAAGATTCTTACACTTAATAGTAAATTGTTACTTTGTATAATTAGAAATTTTCATTTAGTTAGCAGATTTTCTTTTTTTAGTAATAATTTCTTTTAGGTTTTAGTTTAGTTTTTATATTCCTTAGTATTAGTATCCATTTTCTTTGATGTATTAGTTTTTATTATATATCTCTTTTGTTGTTCTCTATTATCTTTTTTTTTTCTTTTTTTTTTTCTATAGAAAGTATCATCAGTTTAGTGATATTCTATTGTAGAGTGGGAATCTTGATGGAGTAACACAACAGACAGCCAAGAAATCTAGAGAAAATAAGTCTGGAGTAAGTTTTAAATCTCTGAAAGAGGCCAACTATTTGTTAGGCAGGTTGCATCTGGGCAAAACACAGTGGTTTAATAGTTCATTTTGACTACAAATAAATATTATAGCATTTGCGAAGTATGCTGTGGGTGAGTTTACCTTTTGGTTAAAACATTATAAATTTAAGATTTCTTCATATGCCAATATAAGAATGAAAGTCTGTTCTTATAATAAAGTAAACAGAATTGCCAAAAGAAAAAAAAGAAATTGTAATATTATTATTATTCGTATATGTTATATATAATGATTATTATAATAATATATAATATAGTCATTGTAGAATAGCATTTCATTGTAAAATAATATTACTATAATTATTTTTAGCATTATTATTATAAAATAGCAACTTAAATAATAGCAAAAACCATTATTACAATGATTTATTTCATTATTACAATGGTTATTTTATTATTACAATGATTTATTGCTTTATTGCATAATATTATCTTATAGTTTTATAGTATTTTTAAAAGATATTTAAATACTGCCTTTTCCTCCAAAGCAAAGAAACATTAATATATACTCCACACCTATTCCTTTGATATCTACATTGTTCTATAGGTATATTTGACTCTTCTCTTTAAATATTTTTTTGTAATAAAGCCTTATTTTTATAAAATTTATTATTAATAAACTGTAATTCTATAGTAAATTTATAGTGGGTTTATCATGTTTTTATTGAATTTTTATTGTGAAATTATTATTTTAAAGTGATATTTTTGATTTATACTTGAGTAAATTTATTTGTTTTGATATTTTCTTTAGTTATTTTATCCCTTAAACTGTAATCCAGACAAATTTGCCTGAAAAATTAAAGTATATTTAGTATTTT